CCGTAAATATCTCGGGCCTTCAAAACACGTATATAACAAAACTCCGCTCCGGATCGTTTTTCGTATTCAATGATAGTATAATATCGCCATCGTCGGTTACAGGTATAAATTGCGTAACTATTTTATGTATCCCATTTTCCCCACTATCCACTTCCATTACCCGCAACAGCGGCCACCGCACCCGTCCTCAGTATCGGCTCTTTTTTCTTCTTTCTACGCGGAAAACCAGACAGCCAATGAGCGTACTCGGTATGAGTGCGGGTACGGACGGCCCGGACTCTCGCATACCGTAGTCCTAAACACGTCGTAATAAAACGACAAAAGTTTTCCACGGGGATGCGTTAATCTATTGCAAAAACCACGTTCGCGCGAGGACGTTAAGTGTCGTGACTTTTGCATGCCACTGGCGGTATTGCGTATCAAAAATATCAGATACGCGACGCTATACAGAGTGATTCACTAAACCAATAGCCCGCACAGGATTGTTTTTCAGTAGGAGTTTCATTTACGATAATTTCCTAACGGGAGAGGGGGATAGTACATATCGGCGGCGGATCCGGAAATTGTTTAAAGTAAATCAACTATAAACTATAAATTAAATCCATATAAAATATAAAAAACAAAAACTGTAATCCATTAACAGGGGGCACGTGCCCCAGTGCCCTACTCCCTGGATCCGCCACTTGCACATATTATACTACGTACAGTGGGTACCGAATAAATTATTTTTAACAAAATTATATTTTATTCTATTCTATGATGTTAAATATTAAACTTGAGACATTTCGACGGTAGGGGGGGGGTTGTAATCTTAACTCCCTCTCTGTGTGTGCTACTGCACTAAGCGTGCTCAACATATATATTTTTTTTTTTTTTTTTGTCAAATTTCGCATGTATTCAAATTCTGATATTTTGAATTTTTAAACGCAGTTTAAACCTATATTTTCGAATGCTCAGAATTTCTATAACTTTTAAAAAGTATTTTATGGCGACACCGGCTTCGACTTTCAAAATAAGGACCTACATTAAAAATTTCATAAATATAAGGATCAGGACATTAAATACATTTTGAGGTCAACTTTATTGTTTTCCGTCAACCCGTTATTTGATTTTCAAGTTTAGGTAGTTGGAGAGCGTGGAGTATCATTTGTGTATCGTTAACGGGTTGAAATCAGAAATTTTGACGCGAAAATGTATTTAAAGTAACACTCCCTCGATTCATGGCATTTTTAATAAAGGTTCTCGTTTGAAAACACCGAACGTCCCCTGAGGGACGTCTATCGCTGCTATTATTATTATTTTTTTTTTTTTTTGTTCCGAGATTCCCGGCGGACCGAAGAACCTTGTGGAGGCTATTACGCAAGGTGTTTATTTTTTAAGTGTAATTTTTGTTTTTTCCCGCGGACATTTTTTTTCTCCCGGAAATCTCTCTCCGGCTTCTGAGCGCGGCGCCCGTTCCGGCCCGGTCGAAAAACTAACCGTTATCGATGCGCGCGATAAAACGCGTGACGACGCCGAAACGGCCCGGGGATTTACCGACCCGGCTCGAATACGCGGGTCAGCGCGCGTTCCGCGAACGCTCGCCGATCAGGTCTGTTACGTTTATCTGCGTTTACCGAGCAGCGTTTGCCGGGCGCGTTTAGGTCGAACGGAACCAAGCGGCCGGCCCGCAGCGCAAAAAATCCCACGCTTGTTCCTTAATCAACGTTTTGTCGTGTAGGTGCGCATGGCGCGGTCACTGCGACCAACAACCGGACCACCGTCAAACAACCCGGGACGAAAAGCACCGAGACGGCGGCGAGCACCGCGGGCCCGTCCACAAACCAAACGGAACAGTCGAAATGGTCTCCGACGACCGCGAAGACGACCGCGCACTCGCGGGGACCCGGCACCGCGGTTACCGGGACCACGGTCACGACAACTGCAAGCGGCACACCGAGCGGTACAACGGCCGACAACAATAAGCCGTCGAGCGTCTCCGGCGACGGCAATAACGCCACCACGAGCCAGTCGCCCGACACCACCAGCACTATTGCCAACGCCAGCACCGCCGGCACGACGCGGTCGACGTTCTACGACGGCACTAAAGACACGAAATCGAGGGGCGGCGACGGCGGCGGCGGCGGCGGTTACAACTGGGGCGTCGGCGGCGGTCACCGTCCCGGTGGTTACGACGAACGCGACGGCGAGACGATGATGACGACGCCGAACCTTGTGTACGGCGGCGACAACTTCGTGCCGGCCGCCGAACCGACACCGCCCAAGAACACGGAACCGCCGATCAACACGAAGGCGGCCGAGAGCACGGCGTTCGTGGTGCTCGTCACGGCCGCCACGCTCATCATAATCGTCCTGATCATACTGATTGTGCTCAAGGTCAAATACAGGACCGATACGAACAGATATAAAATCGAAATGCCCAAAGCGTACGCGGCGCCCATCGACCAAGGCTCGGACAGGGGCGGTCTGTGCCAACAGCAGCAGCAGCACCAGCAGCAGCACCAGCAGCACCACCAGCAGCAGCACCATCACCATCAAAACGCCAACCTCCTGTCGCCCGGCAATTATCCGTCGTCCAGACTGTCGTCGCCCACATACGTGCAGAACAATTACAGGCCACACGGCGGCAGCAGCGGCGGCAGTGCCGGTAGCAGCGGAATCATCAACAACAAGCCGAAAAAGAGACAGGACGTCAAGGAGTGGTACGTGTAAGGCGACGGCGGCGGCTCCGCGCGGACAGCGCTTAAACACACTATAATATTATTAATAAAAATAACGTAACATAATTAAATACTTACAATAGTCTCGTTCGGTGTATATTATAAAAATAATTATTACAATAACATTATTACATAGTTTAAGTACGATTAATTAATTAATATTGTTCACGATTCCGCGTCGAGGCGATATCCCGGCGAAACTAATGCGTTTCTTGGTGTTCGTCCGTGACGGTGTTTTTCTGTTTTTTTTTTTTTTTTTTCGAAGCCCAAAAATCTCCACGATTTTCCCACGGGGGATCGTTCCCCCTGTTTTCATCGCAGTCGATAACATAGTATTCAATATCCGATAGTGATAAACCGCGAATTCCACGCTATATTATACCCGTACTCTGGTATGGGCGTGGTAATATAATATAACGTCGCCTAAAACGGGATGGTTTGTTGGTTTTTTTTTTTTTTTTTTTATCGCGAACCCAGCAATTTTCTCAAATTACACAACTCACCAACGTAAATCTGATATTTCTGAAATTTCTATATAAATATTCTTTTTTTCGGGTCCGTGTTCAAAAAAGGAGGTGGGGGGTTACTAGTCGAAAAACCTAAAATAGGTGCTATTTAAAGTATCAAGGTATACGGGGGTAAGGGCGAACAATTAAAAATGATTTTAAAATAAAGCTTAAAAGATTCGGCGAAGATTAGAAAAAAAAAAGAAATCGAATTCATTTAAAATCCTCCGAGATAATTGATGGTTCGTGACAAAAAAAAAAAAAACACCGTATGTAGGCGTGTGTTGCGTTTTAATGGAGTTGTCGCGAAACGAACGCGACCGAATGCGTGCAAAAGCTCTCGGGGCGTTGCCATTTCCTTCCGGCGCAATCGGTTAATCCGCCTTCGAACTTGTTACGCTACAAATTGGATCCGGAAATAATCGCGTTTAAAATCCGCTTAAAAAACACGTCAACAAAAATCTCGGAAAGAGGCGTCCGACAGATATTTTTTCAAAACCAATCGAAACCCCGGCAGAAGGGTTTAAATGTCCCTGCTCTAACGGCTCTGGCTTAATCAACACGACCGTCTGAAGCTACGCAAATTATTCACCCGGTTATTATTTTTTTTTTTTTTTTTTTTTAACACGTTTAATTCTATCGGAACAAAATCACTTTTCGTTAACCGTTCGTGTCGCGTTGGAAAAATTGTGTCTGATGAGTTCTAGAGCCCGTCGGGCGGTAGACCGTGAAACCCGGTCTACCGGTTTTCGTTCTTGTAACAATATTTTTTAAAGCGCTTTTTTTTCCGCGAGTTTCCCGACGTTTCCGAGCGCGTTTTCGTACATTGCGTCAAGTGCAACAACAGTTGACAACGGCCCGCGACTCTACAGTTACGTACAATTTCCCGCCGTCGCACCGCGGAGTTCCCGTCCGACGAACATCGTGACACGCGTTCACACGGATCGCGCGGACGAGAAAACAGTCCAAACCGGCGGCCCGACCATCCCCGCGGACGCGTCCGCGTTTCGCGCGCCGCAACCGGACCGGCCGCCTGTCGCCCCGCGCCGATCGCATTTTTTTTTTTATTAATTCTTCTAGCCGTCCACGCGCCCGCCGCCCGTCCGCCACCAACCCCCCCCCCCCCCCCCCCCCCCCCCNCCCCTCCCCCATCACTCCCACCGATCGATAAATCCCGGCCACGCCGCCCGAAAACGTGCACGTATTTTCTCTCGTCCGCGTGTTGTCCGCGGACACGTCGTTAACCGCCCGCGCGCGCCACACGCGACGTTCGCCGGGCCGCCGTCGCCTTTGTGGTGACGCGTGTGCGCCCGCGGAACGGCAACGCGCGTAACCAAACCGCGCCCGCGCGCGCGCCACAATCGTAATACTATTGTAATCGTATAATATTAACGCAGTTGATACGCGAGCGTACTGTTATTGTTGTTGCCGCGGCGCGTCAACAACGGCGCTGTTCCAACACGGCGAGAATATTTTTCAGCGCGAACCGGCGATTTTCTCCGGGGTGGAGGGGGGAGAAGGGGGACAGTATTAAGTGAATCGGGATTTATGTTCATCCGCGGGCGTTAACGGCATTTGTTGTGTTTGGTTCGAACGCCGTTTCCGGTTTTTCACCCGAAATGAGCGACACGTTCATTTCGGGGATTTCCCGACGGCGAACCGCGCCCCCTCCCCTCGCCCCTCCGTCCGTTTCGAACGCGGATCCGAACGGAGGCCGCGGTCGTCCGGACGTTCCGGGCGCGCGTAACACACGCATGGGGTTTGCCGTTCGCGAGTCGTGACAGTTTAAAGCGCGGACCGGAGGCCGTAGCGAAACGCATGAATTGCGTAGCGCGTTGGCGGACGGCAACAATATCGATAACTCCTTCGCTCGCATAAACGGCGGACCCCGCGTCGTTAGTGCTGTGCGTATCAAGCGCGTCTGGGAAAACGTTTTCGATGTCAACATCTCCGATTGGAATCGGTGCGCCGCCATTTGAAAATCCGAAACGATCGCTCGTTTCAGGCTCAACGCGTAGAAATCGGAAACGGCGATAAAATATTAAGCCCCAAGCTGACCAACCGCAACGAAATAATATCACGGAATCTACGGTTCCGCGGTATGCAATAAACGCCGCGTAGCCTAACGATGAATTGCACTGTAGTCGCGTGTTAAAAAAAAAAAAAAATGACGATTGTTGTATTGCCGTTGCACGGACGAGATGCGGCGGTGACGACGCACGACGTCGGTTTCCGCGGGTATCGCCAGCGTGGTATTTCAACGAAATAGGTACGCGGTTAGAAAAGAACAGCGGGACGTCGGTCGGGGTGTGCGAAAACCACGGTACTGCTCTGTAGCCGTCCAAATCCGTTCGCGTGTTCGTTACGGGGGATAATATTACAGAGAGAGAGAGACAGAGCGCGTTAGGCGTTTAGCTTTCCTCGACTTCCGTTTTTTCTCGTGATAACCGTCACACGCGTATGTACGTGACGTTACACGTTGCGCGTTGCATCGTTTAAATTCCGAAATATCTGTTTGCTTTAAAGCGAGAAAAATAGTTACCGTACCATATGGCACAGTTTACAAGTACATCACTGCTAACCCCTCCCCCACATCATAAAACCGCAAATTTCGAAAACGAAAAAAAAAAATTATACGGTCCAGTCACTTAATCGCCCGTAAACCATGTAAATTAGACGCCTTTGCGCAAAATAAAAAAAAAACGCTATTTTTCCCCGTGTCCTCCAATTCGTACGGTTCGAGTTCCGTGACAACAATCCGTGCGATTTATCCAGGAAAACAACATTCTTCAACTGTCGGGAAACCGAGTTTTTCTAATTCTTTGATTTTTTCTCGCTTTCTTCCGATTTATTATTGGCAAATAATTTTATTTGTTTATTTTTTTTCAAAACCTCTAAAATATAACATTAAAAAGTGTTATTTTGAACTTGATCAAATTGTATAGTTTTTCTTTTTCCATAGGTTTTAATGATACATTGCATTTTTTTCATTCGAATTTCAAAACGCACAGTTCACACGTGTGTAATTCGTACTCTACAATGTTGTGCCTGTTGCGAATTCTCACGGACACGCCGCAAAGCGATTTTAGCCAAAATTACTTGACGAACACTCGGTATCATACGAGTTGAGAAATCGGTTTCGGAGAAGCCTCGTGATAGAAGGGCTCGAGTCAATATTTGACATTAGTTTTGTAACCGCCTGTTATGTAATTTTCGGCCCAAAATATTGCGTCGAACCGCACGGTAACAATAGGATTGTGGTTTTGTATGGCCCAATTGTACCGTGACCGTGTCGTTTCTTGCAGAAGTAGGTGGTTGGGTACACCCCTTATTAGCGATGACATTTTAGTATACATTATTCAAAGGTTATCATTCGGTCAATAATCGTTCTGATTTGCTTTTATCTAACAGTGGAACACTGCATGTGTTTTAACAATATGCCAGGGATGCCGGGACACTATTAAGAACCTGCGTGTGTGGAAAATCGAGTTCGATTTTAAAATTTCAAAACAAAAGGTTCCGAAGGGCAATAAATACGCCATTGGCCGTCATTTAGAACGCCCGCGCAACAGATTAGGCCGTTTGGTTAATGATTTAGCATTTTTCAAAATTTAATTTGCCGCCCGTATCGAAAACTATACGAAATTGACATCAAATACTTCTTCCCTGGGACAAGAGATATTGCATCATACAGTCGTGTATCCCTGCAGTTGGAGATACCTCCACTGCTTTATTAGACACGGAGACTACGGTAGTGCGCACTGTGTTCATCCCCGTAGAATATAAAAATATTATAACGGACGATTTTTTCGGTCGACGTGTCATTTTCGAATCAATTTCGGAAGCGTTTCGTGCAGCAATGTGGGTTTTTTTTTTTTACCGTTTCGCCTGTTTTTTTGCCGGAGTGACCGCGGTCACATCTCCTACCGTGCGTCATAAAAAATAACAATAATAATAATAATAAAAAAAAAAATCTGTCGTTTCTAAGGGCATTATTCGTATAAGGACAACAGCACGCATAACCGATAAATTGCATTATAATATTATCCGTACCGTTGAAACTACGTTAAAATATTACGCATTCATATAATATTATACAAAACTAAAAAAAATCATCTCGTCACTATCGTCGTTTATTTATATATATGTGTACATTTTTTTTTTTTTCTGTTCTCTCGATTATATATAATTCTCTCATTCCTATACGTTAATATTATATTGTTTAATAATAATTATAACCCGTGTAAATAATTAATTACGTATATCGCTCTTACGGATTTTCGTAAACAAATTCTTATATTTCGACTTTATTTATAATGGCATGTATAGTAGGCAATATAATAGCGCGACGGGGAGGGGGGGCCGAATACGATTTGGACTTGGATTTCGTCATTGGCCGGACAGTAGACTTTCCGGCCGGTTATCTGTATGCATTCCTACCGACCCACACCTATTACATACGAGTACGTATATAATGTTATGCGTGCTGTACGTATTACGTTGTACGTATTTGTACGGACTCGCCGGAAGCAAATAATAAATATTTGTTTAATTTAATTGAAAAAAAAAACAAACTCCCAAACAGAATCAGACACGTGTTCGTAGTACGCGCCTTTGTATACGACTTGACGGTATATTTTCCGACAGGATGATGATAATAATAATAATATGTAATATTAATGACAATAATAATAAAGGCTACATCCGAATCGGTTCCCGTACTAAAAAATTCGGCATCCGAGTCTGTCCCCGATAAACACTTGATACTTGATCTTACATTTTTAAACAAATTAATCAATAACTAAACGGTAGATAGAAATATATGTATTTTATTGTTATACAGATTATACAATGTAAAAAAATTTAATTTGTATTTATGTTTAACACTCTTTTAGCTCCAATGCGTTTTATACCGTAACTGAAAAAAAAAAAAAAAAACAAAAATAAACGACAGGGAGGAATTCGACACCCGTATTCCCTACCTACCAATGATCACACCACTGATTGATTGTGTATTACGTTATTGTATATAAATGTACATAATCAATGATTAATACTGTGTAGTCAATCCTAAATCTGTATAAAATGGGAAAGAAAATCGAAATCGCTTTTAAAAATTTGGGTCGGTTTCTATTCGGATATACCCGTGGTAACAACCCGGGAACCGATTCGGGCGTTTGGTAACCAATTCGGATACGCCCCACCAGTATACAATATTATGTTACGGCTAGTGTTAGAAATTTGATAACGTCAATATTTTCGTTTGGAAAATCCGGTGTAATGCTGTATAAACTTAATATTGGACCTTAGATCGAATCGGCCTACTTTTGAATATTAAGGCAAGAACGTTATCCGTGTTTGTACGGTGGTTTTTTTTTTTTTTGTGCGTGTTTTAGATATTTGGATTTTTAGTGAGAGACGAGCGTGCGAAATATTACAATTTAAAAACCGTTTAAATATTCGAATATCGAAAGTAAAAATCAACGTAGAAACACCTACAATGTTCTTACCTTGACGTTTGATACCGGGCCTGTTCATTCCAATAATAAAACGGACGGCGCGAAAATCGGTTCTACTAAACGAAAGTTCGACATTATCCTGTAATTCCATATTTTGTTTCTCGACAAAATATTAAACTTTTTCGTTTTTCTCGCAAAATAATAATATTAACAACAATAGAGTTATTTATCCGTCGTAATATCGCAATCGAACGTTTTCAGTTTATAGAATATTATTCATCACGTGTATCGAAATCCGCCTTAATAATATAATACGATAATTTAAATATAAATATATACAAATATTTGTTTTTTTACACTCGTTATTAAACAATCACATATCAATATTAAAGTTTCAGTAAAAAAAACAAAAAAAAAAAAAAACTCAATAATTTCTACCTGCCTTTATTTAGTACCCGTGTTATTATTTTTATTTTACGCGACCCAATGTTAACATAATATTATACAATACCCCAGCCCGCCCGATTTTTTTTTTTTTATGCGATTCCAGCGAAAACCAACCAAAAATCAATTTTATTGTTTTAATATTATCGCGTCCTTGAATTTAGCTGTACTTTTGTAATTCTATAACTACGTCAATAACTCTAATAGCGTTATAATTACGATTACTGTTAATGATTATTGCCTATATATTATAATACCTGTTCCACTATGTTATCGTAACATTATACGGTATAGCGGAGACTCGGCGGCGCGACCGGCAGGCGAATCGGGGCAACCGGGGACACGACAAAGGGACCGCTCGGGCAATATCAGGACCGCTCGAAGGTACCGAACGATAAGAACAACGGTAATAATAGTACATTGTGTTTTAACGGTTTTATCGCAACGGACTTTCGTCCGCGTTTCACAATATTTTTGTTGTCATCGGCGCGTGTAAATGTTAAAAAAAAAAAAAAAATAGAAGATGTTTCGAGGCGGGAACGGAGCGATCCGCTATCGCCCGGACCGTTCAGAAATTGTCGGGTTTGGCGGTCCCGCCGCGTTTCGGATCCGACTCGACGGGCGCTCGCCCGTTAGTGTCCAGTCGCGCCGCTGTATAATGCGTGTCCTACCTCCTCCGGACGCGAAAACGATCGTACAGTATTATGTTGCGTGGTTATTATGCACGCCGTATAATACAGAATTGTTTTCTTATCCTAATATGATAATATAACATTATTATGTATAATTTTAAGTATACGTATAAAATGGTATATATATATAAAAAAAAAAAAAAAAAAAAAAAAAAAAAAATAAATAAATAAAATAATAATAATAATATTTATGTAGATTCGTTCGTTGTTATAGTCAAATTTTTGTACAAAGAACAATATCCATTGTTAATCTATAAAATAATATAATGTATGTAAACTATAATTATTATTATAATATAAGTGGAATACTAATAGTTTTAATGATCAGTTGTGTAACCATGTTAATTTCACGCAATAATATTGTATAGTTTTGTTTAGTTAACGGTATATATATAATTATTATAATAATATATTGTAGGCTAATTGTATTAAATAGACAATTTGTTTAATTACGTGTACACACACCGCATTATTATACCTGCGTTATTGCGATTGTTATTTGCGAACATTACGAGTTCTGAACGCGGTGCGCGTATCGACCCGTGAAGTCGGTTAGGTTAGGTTCGGTTTGAAAGGGGTTGCAAATGCAAAGAGCAACTTGTCGGATGAATGAATTGTTTTTTTTTTTTTTGTTTTTTTTCTGCATTCCGCGCGTTAGCGAAAAAAAAAATAGCAAGACGTGGTTTTCTCCCCTTTATTTTTACGTAATTTGTTACATGTTAATAAAATATTCATTTTAACGGTACTTTATGTATTATCTATATATATTAAAAAAAAAAAAAATAAATAATAAAAATATTTACGCTGAATAACGAAACAGTCAATCTGTTTGACCAGACAAAAAACTAAAATTAAAAATTATTCCAAATTGATACTCTGAAATCTAACAGTTATATAACCATGTGCACGTCTCGAAATTAACACTCTCGAATTTGTTCGTTTAATGTATTGGACTAATCTCTAAATTTATGCGTATACATAAAATCACAAAACAATTCAGTACATTTTTCTTTTATTTATATCACCTACAGGCATAAATATTATTATACATTATTTGTGTACACATAATATGTCTATGGTATTTTAAAATTTGCACTAAATCTTGATATTGATAACGGCGAAATATCCATAAATCACTATAAGGTAACTTTATAATTGCACGCATAAAATAAAATTTTACAATTTTACGAAATCTTATATAGTAGTCCTTGTCCGTGTTTTTATTCGGCACGTGGATGAAAAACTGCGGCCACACGAATCAGAAGAAACGAACAAAACTAAAGCTGATTATTTACGTCGTATACAAATTTGGATATACATCTTTTTAAATAATTGTTTTTATGTCTTCGAAGCATAAATTCAGTTTAAATGTACTTACAGCATGTTTAGCATCGGCCATTTCTGCATTCAACACGTTTTTATCAATTGAAAACATTTCTGAAAAATGTAAGTACATATTATAACTTAGTATATGCTTAATGATAAATTAATTGCAATCATAATCTAAATTAGTTAAACATGAAATTACCTCATAATGACTAATGAAAGGTAATGCTTCTTTATAATGTAGATTTAAAAAACTGCCTGCAACCAATGCAAGTTTTTGGTTTTCTTCATAAAATCTTTTCTTTAAATAGTTTATGACAGAATCAACTATAGTATAGTAAAACCGAATGCACCAATGTTTCTTAATTCCCTGTTGTTGATCTTCTAATCTTATATTTTGAGTAACTTCATAATCTCCATCAGCACTACTAAAGATCACGATTTTTTTAAATGTTGAGGTTTACTGCGTTTTCCTTTTGATACTGATAAATAAACAAGTAACCTCCACAATATTTAACTAAATTACATGTTTTTAGAAAATGTTTACGCACATAAAGGTAAATTTTAATAATAAGTGATAAACGTATATGATATTATAAACAAAATTGTGTTTCACTTAGTCATCGGAAAAATTTTCCAGTGACCTGTTATTAACTAATTAACCTACATAAGTCGCTTTTAACAAATTTCCCTTTATATGACTTACCAGAATTTGGTATTCGAACAGAAACGTTATGCCTAGAAGAAAATTCGTCTACTTTGCTCCAAACGGTGGACAATTATAAACATTTCTTATATTCTCAAAAGTTTGAATTACTTCACTCATTATTGTAGTGACATTTGTATACTTTTTTGTTATAGTCTTTTGTTGAGAATATTTATTGTTTGTAATATATAAACAAATTTAACATAAATGGCAATTGTTTTAACAAGCTTAAAAGACCTAAAAAAAAATTAAAATAAATTAGAGTCCATAGATATAATATATATTACACTTTGTATGTGTAATATAGCTTTCCATAGGTAAATGAAACTATAACCTATAAAATAATTTAAGTTACAATTTACCTAAGCAAAATATGACTTGAAGAGAACAGTTTTGAAAGCTGTGAAAGTATGTACGAAAAAAACCTACCTCGTCAGATTCATCCAAATTTTCATAATTTATTGTTGAATTTGGTTTGGGTAGTATTTCAAAGTACGAAAATAAATTGTTAACATTATTTTTGTTCATTAATAAATTACACAAATTCTTACAGCAGGACGAAAAGTAATACTAATACCTAACAGTAATATATAAGAGTAATTATTTTTTTCTGAATCTAATTATATCTAACGAAATTGTAAAATATATAGCTGTGGTACCACTGTGTCTATACAATACAATCGTATTATTAAATAACAGTATACATAAACACGACCTTAGAAGATATTTATTACAATTATGAAATAGGTAATCATCAATAAAGCATAATGTTCTCATCAAAATATAATACACCACATTTACTTAATATGGTATTTTTTATTAAATAAATAATTATTATTATAAAATAATAAACAATAGCTAATAAACGAACTATTCTATCGGCGGTGTTCCGTACAGATCGACCACATTTTACATCTGTCGATGATATTTGTTTCAAAATTCAATAGATTTGTCATAAATAGGTAAGTAAAATATTCGTATATTTCGACATAGTGATATCTATTAGAATATAGTTCAATAAATAAATAAGTAAATTATTTTCTAACATATTGTAGTATTATTTATGATAGGAAAATGCAGCTAATAATAAAATGTGTAATAAAACACATTTATTAGTCGAATTGTTTATATGTTTAATTCGTAGCGTTTGCATTGACTAAGAATGGCCGATATGTTTGCGACAACTATCTACTTGTAGCTCAAGATAAATAATATGTAAGCATACTATTTTATTATTACATTTACGGACGAAATGAACAGGGAAGTATTTTCTTTATGTTATTTTTACGTCCTCGACACACGACGGGTACATATTCTTATGTTGCTGTAATCTCCCCGGTAAAATTGATTGATAGAGGCAAATGCATACATACTACATTATTCCTTCGTCTAAGAATGAAATGCACGGTGTAAGGTGAGGCGGGATTTTAGTCCTTGTGTTATTCATAAATATTATTTCCACCGTAAAAATGTACTAAAGCAATGGAAATTTAAATGTTTGTAATCTATAAACTTCATTTCGCCTCACTGTCTAAACAGTACAGATTTCCCTAATATAAATAACTTAACTCTACATTCTTATACGTGTACAAATACTAGCAACTGCTCTTGTAACCAACAATTATTAATATCAAATAGTGTTGAGTATCTAGGTATATATAGGTATACATAGGTGTAGAAACATCAGATGGATTGAACATATTCAAATACTAATAACCAAATTAAGAAAAATTGCCTATGTTTTTAAACAATTACAAAATATATTCAACATAAACCGATTAAGAATAATTTAAAAAAGGCTTATAGAATCTTTAATTACATATGGGATTATTGCTTGGGGTAGTGGTAATAACACAAACCTTATTCATCTTTAAATACCGCAAAATAATAATGATAGTTTTGAATAAAAACGATTTATATCATGTCAACGATCTTTATTTAGAATTTAATGTTTTGCCAGGAAAAAACTCGTTTATAAAACAGCTGTCATATTCATGGTCAAAAATAATTTAACGAAAGCAACAAACCACACATTTAACGCGAGATATAAAATCAATAATATTATCGTTCCTAAAATGCATAAAACTATCACCCAATCGTCACACACATTTATAGAATCATTTATTAACAATAAACTTCCATAAGAGTCTACTCGGTGAAAAATTCAACACGCTTAAATTAAAATTACAAAAATGGCTTAAACAACAAACTGGAGTTATAATAAAAATACTTTCTTAATGTCACAATTTTATTCGGTATATTATTTATAAATTAAACTAATTAAAATTAATTATAAATGTATAATTGCTCTCCCTTGTGTATTTTTTCATATGTTTACTTTGTGTTTTTTATTTGTTTATATTTTCTAATATTTAAGTATCATCTCTACTATTAAGTCTGTGATTAACTAACTTTAAAAAACTGTAAGGCAAGTTCTCGTGGGCCCCCTCACGAGCGTGCTCAGTGGGCCCGTTATTCTTTGAAATAAATGCCTAATAATAATAATAACAATAATAATAACGAACACTTTACAGCCTTTACACTCCTTGATACCAATTAAAAAACATGCCGTCTCTAAAATATTAAAATATGTAATATAAAAGATAGAAGATAAAATATTTTCTCCTATCAGTTGTTCCAATAATACGGGGCGATCAATCTATCATAAGACACTCATTATCTCGTAAAGTATTAACTTTTTCCGAAATTTATTTTATAGAACATTTAAGAAACAAGCTGCTCTACTATCGTATGTTTATGTTATTTTTGTCACCTTTATTTTTAGGAATAAAATCACTGCCTACTTTTGTTTTTCAAATGGTAACCTATAAACTAAAATCCCATCAATAAGTGGAATATTAGTTAAAATAAATTTTAGTGGTGAAATTTTTGATTTCCGTCAATTCATTGACGAGATATTCCACTTTTAAGTTTGGATTGAAGGAGAGTAGTGGAGTATCATTTGTGCGGCGATACAGCGCGCGGCGTATTAATAATGCACCACCACTCTCCCCCAATCCAAACTTAAAAGTAGAAGTAGAAGTATCTTGTCAACGGATTGACGGATATCAAAAATTTCAAGACCAAAATGTATTTTAATTTATAATTAGTCTATTCATGGAATTTTTAATATAGGTTGCCATTTTAAAATCAAAAATAGATAGTGGTTTTACCCCCAAAAATAAGAGTGATGAAAAAATAACATAAATATAAAATTATAGAGTAGCTTGTTTCTTAAATATTCTAGAAAACAAATTCCGAAAAAATTTAACACTTTCCGAGTTAACGAGTGCTTTACGATAGATTGATCACTCTGTATACAGGAATCAGTTAAGTGAACTGTGTTAGATGCTGCTGTATCGTAGCATAAAGCTTGTAATTTATTTGCTACGCACCATACGTTTAAATAAAAAAAAAATTAACATCATTGTAAAACCAATACATTACTCGCTCCGCTCAGAATCTAAAATATAATTTAAAAGAAATACTTATTAATAAAATTAGTGTTTTTTAACTATATAGACAAAAATATGTAACAAATAATTTGATAATATAGCATCGACGATGAGTAACACCAATTACACTCTATAATCATTTTTCAAACTATAAACAATGTAACCCACACAATATATCGAAATTCACTTAAAAATAATGCAAATGTATATAAATTTAACGATATAATAAAAATTTGGCCGCTGACTTGAGCGTAAATTCAGTGGCAGTTTTTCAAAAATTCGTATAAAATAAACCGAGATCCAACAAACGGTGGGATCTTTTTAACAATGTCCAAAAGATGACCAACACAACTGTTGTATAGGTTTAATTGAATTCTATTACGTCCCGCTAAGTTCACGGACATTATGATAGCCCCTGGGTATATCAATATTGTTGGTGTGAAGATGGGAAGGTAGGTACTACCTACCTAATACTGGATGTCCCGCGTCCGGCGTTGCCCGTGCCAATTTTTATTTTTTATTTTTACCCATATTCACTTTTGGTTTAATAATTATAATACTTTTTAGATTCCGAGCGTAGCGAGTAAGCTATTTTTTTACTAATATGTTTATTTTTTTTTCTCTCTTTCTTTCTTCTAGACTGTGGACACGTTTTTTCCTAATATACTTACTCCGATTCGTCCGTATAGCAACTTTTTTGAAAGCTCAAATTGTTACGATTGAACTTTAAACGGGTCATTTTTTGATTTTCGATGCCACTTTTTAAATAAAATCACTTAAATGGGAAAACAATAGAAAAACGTACAATTTCACGATTTCGTTATTTTATAAAAATACGGACGACGTTTTCTACCAGAGAAGAATGATTTAATTTAAAAATCAAAAGCCATCTTTTTTGTAGCCTTTTTGATTTAATTTTTCACGGTAACTTCGTCAAAACTTTTGAGCTTTTAAAAAATTATAATTTTTGGAAGTTTTTTTGCTGTATTCGATTATAAATACACGTAGAGACTTGAAATATAGTAATAATACTTATACTATAGATGATAAATCGATTTTTTTTTTATTTTTTTTTGTAAAAATAATATTTTTTTAATATAATATTGTTTTAATTTTTGCAAATACAAGCTATTGCTTTTGGGGCAGCGTCAAAATTTGTATTTTATTTAAATTTTCATATATATATATATATATATATATATATATATGTACGAAATCATATATTTTTGTCATTAAACTAAACATATTATTATTATTTCATTATTAAAAAAACGCATAATTAAAAATAATAGAAATCGTTATTGCATAAAATATCATGGTTTTTTTTTATATTCCCGCTACACATTAATTTTAGACAATAGGTATAGTTTAATATATTAATGTAAACATGAATTTTAGTACCAAACACCACACGAATTATTATTATTGATAATAATAATAATAATATTTTCTTCTATACAGAGGTCGTTACTGCATGTGAGGCAAAGTCGTTCTGACGTAGTTCATATAAAAGTTTTGAATGTCTACATAGGTTCTCACCGATTTATATGCGTGTTCGGTAATAGTTTTCATTATATAAAAAAACACGATAAGCAACATACCTACGATTTTATCATCACCAAAAACATGTTTAGCGGTACATTTTAAGCCACTTATTAGGAAACGGGCCTATATAATAATATATACTGTAAATAGTGACATTCATAGCTGGCAGCATTCTACAGAACTAATAATATTCTAATACGGTATTCAAATATACGGCAAAACTAGTTTTATACGATAATAGGATCTACCCGGGAATACGAATTAATCGTGAATTCATAACCGAAAGTTGTTTTCGTTGAACGACATAATATTAATTTTAATAAAACAAACGGACATACTTCACACGATGGGTAGGTCACTGTTATAGATGAGAATTTGGGAATGTAAAAACGAAATTTATTATATATCTGTACGCAACGATTAATCATTGCTAATTCAGACCGGAGTTCGGTTATACATTTTTTGAAAGGCCATAATATTTACAATTTTAAAATAATATAGTTCATTAATTTTCGGTTTTTTGTACGTTTTTCTATTGATTATGAAAACTTCTGGCAAAATAAAAAAAAAATGACTTCTTAAAGTACCGCCTTAGTCAGATTTTCTTTCAGGATAAGTGGTGCACTTGAAAATCGGAATAAAATTTCTGGTAGAAAAGTTGTTCATAGAAAAAAAAAATAAACTAAATCTAAAAAAAGAGCTAAAATCGGGGATGGGTGTGATGTGATACTGTTGAAGATGGTAATTTGGTAAGGTAGAAAAATAGTGAATACATAATGTTAGGTATTTAATTCATACAGGTATGAAACGATAAACCATTGCTGACTATTTAAAAGTCGCCAAAATGTTTTTATTTTATTTTACTAAGTCTAGAAAAGTTTAATATAAGTATTTTATGGGTATTTCAACTTTTTACGGTTATTTTTAACCATCTTACAATAAAAACAAATTTTCTTAGATTACCCTAGTTACTCAGGAAAATATAAGATGAATCAATAAAACAACCTTGTTAAGCACCAATTAGAAAACAATTTATTTTATAGAAGATGCTAGCCTAAACATTTTAATAAGATATCTGGTAGAAAAAATTCGAAAAAATATAACAATGATAAATAAAATAAATATTCTGTAAATATTCGAATACACTTGGAAATTTTTCCTATACGTTTTTTCCGTGTTTTCCCGATTATTAGAAGAACCACTTTGAAAATCAAAAAATAACTTTCTCAATGTATCTAAAACCTAAAACTCAATAAAAAAAGCGTGCTCGTCATTTAATGGTTATGACCAGATTTCTGGTAGAAAAGTTGTTTGTAGAAAAAAAAAAGGAAAAAACACACATGGCAAAACAAGTACATTTATCGGTCAAGAAGCATATAATAATTTTACAATGATCTTTATTTTTTTTTTCTGTGGACAACTTTTCTACCAGAAATCAGCAATATTTCTAAAGGAAATTTTACTGAAAAGGTAATTTAAAGAAGCCATTTTTCAATTTTCTCAAGAGTGTTATCATCAAATGCGAAAAACCGAAAAAGAAAACGGAGGAAAAACGAGAAAAACGAGATCCATTGTAATTTTGGAATTGGAATCTTACCATACTGTGACCAATTTCAACATAATATATATTGTTAACAAAGCATCACTATCAACTGAACTCCGCTCAGAATCGTTTGTTTGTTAGCAATGGTTTATTGTTGCTTACATTAAACTACTTATAACAGTGGCTGCACCCGACCCCATCGTAGGATGTCTTTTACATTTCTGGTTTAGAAATACCTACCAATAGGTTGTTTTTGTCGGAACATAAGCAAAATTTGTAACCGATATAAAAATATTTTTGTCTGGGATATTATTTGTTTTTAAGTTTATCTCTAATCGGAGAATTACGAGCTTTAACGGATTTCTTAAAACAGTGGAAAATATCTTGAAGAACAGTTTTTTTTTTTTTTATTATTCAACATGTCAACGTACACAGGCCAAACAGCAAAATAATAAAAAAATAAAAAAATCCGTATAAACTCCATTTATATTTATTTTATTTACATTAAACATAATAAAAAAAACATTTCAAAAAAATGGATCCCGGTGAATTGATCGCGGCTGCAAGTTGGTCGCCAAAAAAAAATTAATTATGTAGGTATCGATTTATATAGACTTCTCTGGTTTATACTACACAATTATTAAATATAATAATCACACATAATAATCAACATAATTGTTATTTTTAACAAGAACAACATAAAAGAAGAATTATTTAAAGCTTTTATATTCCGGTGTAAAATCAAGCCCAATATTTCAACTGATTTATATTTAAACGAAAAACTGTCAATGGAGAATAAGAAAATATACAAAATAAATAAAACAAAATATTCTACGTAACAAGTGGCAAGATAAATATAGTTACAAAATTTACGTTCGGTCGAATAGTCACTAATGCCGATAGATATTAATTAAATTGTTGAATGTTTGTAAAAATAGTACTTGGCATCACGTTCGTAATCTTGTCTTTATTTTATTTTATTTTTTTATTTTTCTATATCATCTTTGACTTGTGTTTGTCTCCTTTTAATTTCTTCGTTGTCGAATGCAATATTAATATTATTTGATTATTTTTTGATGATAGGCATTGATACTGAAATAATAGAAGAAATATAACGAGGTAAATTTTGTTGAATCAAATTACGTAGACAGCTTAGATGACATACCCTATAATAGTAATAACGTTTCAGTATTCTCAGCGGATATTAGAAGTTTTAAAACAAATATAGACGAACACTTAGTTTTGCTAAATACAAGGTTAGGCATCAGTTTGATAATAAAGTTTTGAGTGAAACTTGGCTTTGTACGGATATTAGCTTTTTAATTAATGGTTACACTCTTATTAATTCTCCATGTATTAATAATAAAGCTGATGGTATATCGATTTTAATTGAAAATAATTGTACAGTCAAAACAATAGTAATAATGTAGTACCGGGACTGTAACTAATTGGAAATTTCTTTCTCTAAAGAAAATGTTTATATTATTTAACATCAATTTATAGATCGCCAAGTAATATTACTGATGAGTTTGTGTACTCTATAAATCGATATCTTTTGTCTATGACTTCTAATAGTAAAAAATATATTATCCGTGGAGTTATCAATATAGACATTTTAAGTAATAATTCAGAATCCATAAAATACTCAAATATATTAGCACGAAATTGATTTTATTCTGCTTATAATATTTCTACTAGAACAAAAAATTCCTTAAAAACGTGTATTGATCATTTGTTTATAAAAAATGTTTGTAATACAATTTTCAAACCGTATGTTCTTCGTAGCAGCATAACTGGCGATTTTAATTTAATCCTAAATATAAATTGGGAGCTACTTCCAGAAAATAGTGATAATAAAAATGAAATTAACAAAACGTATATTAAAGTTGATTACCCATACTTAAATTTATTAACACAAATACCGAATTGGAGTTCACTTTTTGAAGGTAAAAATGTTACACTGCAGTCAGTTGATATCTTTAATGATAAAATTGATGAATTAATGAATTGATCAAATTATCTTCCGATGAAATCTAATGTAACTATAACGCTAAAAAAAAAAATTATAAATTAAAACCTCGAATTTCAGCTGGTCTCGTCGCCGCAATAAGAATAATGGAAAACGCGTATGATAAAACCATTAACCAACCATTTGACGTTACCCTATGGAACCATTATTAAAGAAGCACCCAACGCAATAACAAATAAAATAACAACCGTAGTAAATGAAATACTTCGTGAATATGATAACACACAACCTCGGACGAATATGAAATTGCCAACATTTTCAACCTAACCCCGCACAGAATAGGACGGTCTTCGGACGGCACACAATAATAACTCATATTATACGGTTTGATTTTATTATAAAATATTATATACGTATATATAGTACACCGCGTCGCGTCACAGCATCTTATATTTGGCTGTCCGCACATAGTGGCAACGTAGCGTCCGCGTTAGGTCGTAAAACCGTAAGGCCGTCACACACACACACACACCCCATCACCGATCACCGTTCTATTCCGAAGATTATTTCACTATTACCGATGTATACAAAGTAGTGGATCCACGCACGATAAAACACCGACATCTATAATGGTCTGTGCCCATTATATTACCCCCTGACTCATAAATATACATACATATTTAATACAAAATAAAATAAAATACAAACGTGTTTTACCGTTGCAAATTGGTATGTACTGAAAATTAAATGACTAAAAAATTTAAAAAAAATTAAAAATATTTCAATATGTGATTGAAAACTATTCCATTGTATCGATTATAGTTAACTATTAACAATAACAATATTATAAATTTATTGATATTTCGGTATTCTTTTAGTGATATAAAAGTTCCTTTAAAAAAAAAAATCGTTCCCGTAAGCGTTCCTTTTTTTTTTTTTTTAATGCACACTTAAATAATATTTGTATATATTTTTAATTTGAAAATAATAATATCACTAATGATTTTGCTTTGGAAGTGTTCAAGTAAATACAATTAATTTTACATTGAGGGTTTTCATTTGTTACTTGTGTAGATACCTAGTTTTCATAAAAAAAATAAGTGTAGTGTGAGTTGGTCAAGTCAATTAAAATCGGAAACTATTCTTGCTTCTTTGAATTGGCATGTTTTAAATCCTAATAAATTAAATTAAATATATTTCCTTGTTAAAAACAAAATAATTACAATTCCTATTCCTATAATTCCTATAGTTCCTATTCCTATAATTAAAGAATTAAATCACATTCCTATTCCTTCAAAAAATAATGGAATTAATTCTTTCATTTGTTCCTCTAAAAAGAAATAAATTCCAGGAATCGTCCCTTAACAACACTGCTTAGCGGTCAACGTCTGACCGGAAAACGTATTTAATCTATCTACTCAAAATCAAAATAATTTTTACATAATAGTATAGTTTACTTATATTATTATTATTATATGTATTTAATCAGGTACGCGTACAAATATGGTTTGAAATAAAAATAATGCCAAATTAAAACCGATTTATTAATATTAATAATGACAAATATAATATGTTATTATATAACACGCATCTGTGGTGTTTTAAAATTGATTAAAATGAAATAATAATTCAGTTTACAGAACTCGAGGCTTTGACATTTTCCGTGCCCGATTTATTACTATAGATCGACCAACTGGACGAGCTATCGGTTTGAAATTTGATCAGTGTATTTTTAAAAGCAAAGTACCAAGCGAATCCGATGACCGCACTCAAAAGGATTTCCAAGTAATATCCGTCCACAACCGTAATGCAATGGCCACCATTTTGAACACACATCTTAAACACAAACAAAAGACGAATTAAAAATTTTTACTGAAAATCGATATTGGGTAAATAATCATTAGAGCAGATATTTATATAGCTTTGACATAATTTTATGAGTTTGTCAAAAAAATCGCTAGTGTAAAACAAAATGTATTTTAAGGTATAACAATTCTATATATTACATTGTATTTGCATATTTTACATTTTTTTTTTTTTGCATTTTTTGGGCATATTTTAGAATTTCGTAAATTTCGTAAATTTTTCTTTAAGTTTAATTAAGTGCCCTTCATAACTTAATAAATCGAAAATTACAAACAAATTGTTTAAGATTAATAAATATGAACAGCGAGTTGATAACTTTAGAACCCGAATTTTAAATAAAATATTATTGTCGTCATTGAAATGAGTTAAATGGGTTTTATAATTTATCATTAACAAAAATTTTTTTTTAATAAAATATTTATTGGTTTTCCATTAAGAATAAAAATTGAACCATTTTTAAAATCACTCCGATGAAAATTATTTATATAAAACGAATTAGTGAAATAAAATATTAAGATTAAAAATTGTATTTTATGAACATATTTAGAGGCACATTTTATTTATGTTTAGAGCATATAGTTCTGTCATATTATAATGATATAATATGTGATTATATCTTACGCTTTTCAAATCCACAGTCGAGCAATTATTATTTTGAGGATCATTTGAGCATTTGCTGAACGTTAAAAAGTCCATAACTTCCAGTCCCAAAGATGCTGAACACATCATTCCCAAATTCGAGGCGGTGTTCAACAATGTCATATATGTTCCACCAAAACGTGAATCACTTATACGGAAGAAAAAAGCTGCTGCGGCTACGGTCATGATGTATAAAAGTGCCTAAATGTATACAATTAAATAAAATATACATTTGAAATTTGATATCATTTAAACTAGCTGTCCCATCCGGCCTTGCCCGTGCCAATTTTTATTTTTTTCTATCCATATTCCGGGTCAGTTAGAAATAAAAACAAATAGGTGGAAAGTGGGTAGTCCACCTTCGGCGGACTAAAAGTATTCTGTTAGGACATACATTTTTAAATTTTAAATCACTATTTGCCATAAGCATTAAATATTTCTGGATACACCACGTTAAGTGTCTCACCTTCTGGGGCCAACATGAATAATTTTTTTTGCATGTGACACGAGACAAAGCCACTTATAATTGACCATGAGAAAAATATTAGACGGTTAGATCTAAAACTGCAACATTTAATGTTTGACCTTGTACCTTATTGATGCCCATTGAAAAACATAGTTTTACGGAAAATTGAAGCCGTTTAAACTGGAATAGTGGATGATATCATTGGTACTCAAGGAACCAAGACCGTTTTCCCAACACCACAGCCAATAAGAGTCATACACTCAAGCAGACAGTTTTTTTAAGATTAATGTGCCGTTATATAATTTTGGTGGGCATAAGTTCTGGAGTAATATTATTACCTACCTTTAGAATTAATTTATGTGGTGGAGTCCCTAGAGGGGTTAAATTATTTAAAAATTCAGTTGGATAATGTACCGCCTCCTCTCTGTCAATAACAGTATCAACTGAATAGTATATTTTTGTTGGTGCATTGAATCTTAACAGTACCATGCCATTTATTTTATTAACTAGCTCGTTAGTTGATGGCAATATTAATCTTTCCTGAAACTAACTCAAGGTCTTAGTAGAAATATTAGATATCTCTGGGTTAACATATAATCTATAATCTCGATCAGCAGAAGTTGAATTAATACGTACTAAGCATACGGCATTTGCCGTGTTGCATCCTATATTAGATCTTTTTTTATAGACAATTTTCTGTCATAGAATAATCAAAATTTCTCAAGAAAACCACATTTTATTGATATTTTATAATTATAAAATAATTTTAAATTTTTCATGCTTTTAACAGATTTTTTAAAATGAATTTGACCCTAAACAATTGTAAAAAAAAAATATGATATTACGCTTTAATTTGTTTTACGTACTAAAAAAATTAACTAGTAACGACACGAAATACTTTTACCTTAAACTGCCAACTTTATTCTTCACTCACCTACCAAAAAAATATACTCACCTTACTACGCCTTATCTATAAACTATAAACCAGACTTCAAAAATTTTATTTTATGGGTTATTTTATGACGTATCAACTTTCTGCAGTCTACAACACTTTTAATGGTTTATTTTCAACTATTCATATATAAACATTGGCGTATCCAGAAAACTCACTTAAAACCTAGACGTTTTGTTTGTTCAAATTGCATTACAAGAAAGACTTAAAATAAAATATTACATGTTAATTGCTATCACAAGAAATACTTAGCATTTTACATGTGATATTTTATGTTGTAAAACCATAATAATTTGTATTATACTACTGAACACCCAAGAACCCACAACCCACCCGTACATATTTTCTAAGCGTATTCTATAATAGTTTATATGACATTTGGTTTTTGAGATTTTTAATAATATACCATCTTAAGTTCATCATTAACTCACCTCGTTGATCGCGTTTATTGATCCCAAAATCAGATAGTAGTATGTCGGTATGTCTATGGTTCCGTCATCACGTTTGATTAACAAAGGAGTGATATAAATTAATAAAATGTTTGCGAAGCCCCACAGTAACCTGAAACGAAAATCGTTTGATAATCAAATAATACGTATTAATTATACATAATATTCAGTTAGTGATATAGAAATACAGAATTTATGTCTGATCAACCACGGACCTTATTTTTGGGGTTGTGATAATAGATAGGATATCAAGTAAAGAATGTAAAGCTTTTATGATTTGTTTGAACTTTAGCAAATGCGTGTTAGAAAATAATACTTTTAATATAAATACGAGTATTAATCGTATTCTACGGCTGTCGTAGTACAAAATCGTATAAAATCACGATTAATGTGTTAGGGATGGAATTATACAGTACTCAAAAGTCGAGAAATATAGGCAACAACTATGGGATAAAAATGATGAAAAGAGTAAAACTACACTATTTCCAATATCAAGAAATACTGAGATAATAAAAAATAAACGTCGGGGGAATGTTATTCGGCCTGCGTATAGTTAATAAACAGATAGATGTAGAGTAGTTAGGATATAATAGCCCCTAAGCTTGCCCATTAAGTAGACCCTACCACAGGTACAGGAACACTTTTTGTTTTTGCTTTTTAAAATTTTTGGTCCACACTAAAGCCCAAAGACCCAAAGCCAGCCCGCAGCCTATTAAGCTTTCAATTAAATTTTGCTCTGGATAGTTACAGGTAATAAAGTCTTCTATAAATATTGACCAGACCTTTTCAAAAATAACTCGGTGATAGTGTGCTAAGGTTACATTAATGAAATCGACGTATAGGTTATTCAGTTATAGAGATACGGCAGTATATTTTGTACGTGTCACTATTGTTTTTGGTACCTGATCGGAATTAAGTTCATACACACGCTCAGCGGTTTCGTGCCCGAAGTGTACTTGGATACAACGATTGGCGTTAAAATTTTCACTGCAAACATTGCTGTAGTCAAAACCATAATATCGTCTTTAGGAACGCCGACGTCGACCAGTTTCAAATACGCCAAAGAACTTCTCATTGCGGAAAATCCGACCTAAATAAATTAAAAAAAAAATAAAAAACCGTTTTATAACATTATAGTCGTTAGTGGTTTTAGATAACATTTTATTACAGAATAAATAACTAACATTTAAAACGCACATAAACGCGTTTGTAAACCTTAAATTGTAAGAAATTATTTATTTTAAAATGTTCTGTTTTATTTACCTTCATCGTCATCAATACTATTATCAATACACGGATTCTAGGCAGTTTCAAAATGTCCCAGACTAGTTTGTAATTTTGAACGACGGTAAGCTGTATGTGGTTTTCCTCCAACCTGTTGTCCTTTTCTTTTTTAAATATGCCGATTAACGTAGTGATCGCAATGCATAAAATACCCCAAACGAACAAATATCCTGTGAAAGTCAAAATTATTATAATTCATTTTTTAGAAAGGAATCAAAATATTATGATGGTTATATATATATATATATATATATATAATTATAAATAGTTTATATAAACAAAAACATAATATTAGAATATCTAATTCGTTTATTGTTGGATGTAGTAACTGTAAATTCGATTTCCACTAGGCAAAAGTAAAACAACATATACAATTAAAAAGTAGAATAGTGTATTATCTATGTTAAGTTAATTTTAACTTTTAACCTTTTATTCGCATTTTTATTTCAAATTAATTAAATAAGAGTTAATTTTGAATTATATCATTGATATAATGGTATAATAATAAAATCAATATAATGATATTAATTTTAATTTCATTTAATACATAACACAATATTAAATTTACGATCTGTATACAAGTTATTTGAACAGGTAATATTGAAAATATTTTTGTTTTTTTACTCGACAATGTGTGTGGAGTTCTAAGTTCATATAAGTTCAAGTTGATATTTCTAGAATAAATCGAGATAAACTTGTGTTTAACATTGAGCATTCTGAATTCTTTTAAATCACAAGCTCTAAATTTAAGCATTTTTATTATGGATACTGTGGCGATAACAATTTTACTAAAACCACAAATTTAAAAATATGGACACACTTCGCACGATGGGTGGGCCAGTATGTGTGAAAAGTTAGGAAGATAAATATAGAGAGGAATTTAATGTATGTATATGTACGGAACGATTAATCTCGGATAACGAAAAACGATTCTGAATGGAGTTCGACTATACATTGTTTGTAAGGCCGTAATATTTATGATTTTGTTTAAAATTTGATACTGAAATTCTTATAAAAAAATTCTTCACTACATTTAATTTTTTTTTTACTCACAATTTTATTCACAGAATTCACATCGAATACAAATTACTTAAAAAATCTCGCTAAATTAAAATGACTGCAAATAACTCAAAAATAGCTAAAATGTCTTTAACATGTTGCCACGTCTCGAAAAAGTAAATTTAATTTTTCTGTTCAAAAATTTCAAAGCTCAGCAAATATTTTTAACTAAATCACAACAAATAACAAAATTTAAAATAATACTTTTCGCAATTTTTCCCGTTTTCCTAAGTTTTTTTTAAGTTTTTCTCAGTTATTACAAAAACCGCTTGAAAAATCAAAAATCGCCTTTTTGAAGTATCATTCAGGTAAAATTTTCTTTCATTAAAAGTACTACACTTATTAAATCGGAGCAAGATTTCGGTAGAAAAGTTTTTCACAAAAACAAATTATAAAAAAAAATTCAAAAAACATTGTAAAACCAATACATTTCTCACTCCTCTCAGAATCTGAAATGAACTTAATAATTTTCTTAAATTAGTAAGTAAGGCAACCTAACTTTATTAAATTTGATTAATGCATTTTTATTAAGACCTATGATTAAAAACCGTAAAATGAATACAACCGAATATTATATTTGTATGTCAGTCTACCAACTTACTTTCCAGAGTTACTACTCCTCCTGTCGAGGTAGTAATAATTCGCGATAAGTATTTACTACAAAAGTCTTCGGATGTAAGTAGAACGGGAACCACGGAACCCAACATTATGCCGATAGCAAAACCCGACGAACTACATGCCGACGAATAACCTACGTTGGACCTATTCAAAAAAAAAAAAAAAAAAAACTATTTATAAATAATAAACGACCATTTGAAAAACGCATTCTTGTAAAGTGTTATGACATAAGTACTTACTTATTTTTGGTTAAAAAAAAATCCTGTAGATTATGGAGAAGTATGAGACATGATTTAAAAAAAAAACAGAAAATGTATTTATGTATTCGAAAATAGTCATTTAAATACTTTGCAACATAAAGTTTACATGATGGATAACAGACAAGGTAACCCGTTGGTCGGATATTATATCACGTTTATAGGTAGATTATCTGTACACCGAGAAATTGCACACGGCGTTTAGAAAAATCATAATCATACTCACTTTTTTAACATGGTAAGCGCCCAACCGTCAATTACTATGTTCTGGGTTGCAGCCAAAAAATTAAGGACGAAGAACACAAACGTTAGCATCATTAGATTTGGTTTGCCCTCTTCGGGCAACCAGTCATTGATGTTACTGGCAGAAAACACTAAAATCGCTCCTATTCAACAATAATTATTCATATTATAAAGTAGGTATTTATTGAAAAAAATGCGTTGAAAATATTTTTGGGACATAAAAACCACACTTTTGACATAAATTTATAGAGGTGTTTCTTTCTTTTTTTTTCTCAGATCGTTAAATATAATAATATTATAATAGGTGTAATATATTAAAGTTGATACTCCCTAATTGTTGTGAAAAATATAATTATACGAAAATATCATTTTTAACTATACTTAAAAATTCCAGAAATCAGAATTAGATTACACGCATAATTTTACCTAAAAATAGGGTGAGTATACCTAATATATCACCCTGTATATATTATAAAACATATATATATATATATATACATACATCAATTAGTTATCATTATTTTAGGTTGGTGTGAAACGGTTGTGATGTTCATTAGTTGAATATTGGACTTACTGTTTGTTAATTAATAAAATATTATATTTTGAACATTTTAATTGTAGAAGAATAAAGAATAAAGAAGAGAAAGTAGATAAACCTAATCTAATATAAGATAACACATTTATACCTTTTTCGATATTCCATTAGTCCAAACTGTAAATCATTATAATCGATAAATTGCCAGTCTGTACATAAATGGTTTATTAAGTATCTAAGCGTGGGAATATATTTTTTTTCTGACATAATTTAATTTAAAACTTAACATACCCATCAAGCATTGAACGGGAATGAGCCAAGATTTCCGTCGACCTATACGCTGCACATATATCGAGTCCACTAACGGAGCCCAAAATAGTTTCATGTTAGTCGGCCATAACACCAAACTGAATAAAGCCTAGAACATAAAGGAAAAAATGATTAACCACGAAATATTATTTGTAATTACATATTTACCATTAAAATATTTTTAAAATGCAAAATAAAAGACGATTAAATATTATTTATTATTTATCGATATTTTTATTCATGAGAGATTTATGAGGTTTTTTATTCATACATTTTTACATATGTATTATTGACTTAGACAAAATGATATATTTCTACCCCTGTGCTTTGAACGGGGAGAAGCAGATTCTCCCCTCATTCACGTGTCACTATCCGATAATAATAGTATTTTAGGTTATACCTATTAGTTTTACAAAAATTTGTTTTTTTTTTTTTTTTTTTTCAGAATAAAATTTAATTTAATGCTCTAATATTTTTTTAAAAATACCTGCCATAAAAAGTAAATGATTTATAGCAGGTAGTTTTTTATTTTAAAAATGTATCGAAATTCTCAACAATTTATCCCCCCCCTAGGTCCTTTTTTATTTTTGTATTACATTTTCGAAAATTCAATCGATCTCTAACTTTAAATTTATAATAACATATTATTATTATCGCTTACCTGATCTTCGTAAGATACTACTTTCTTGCTTTGCATGATAATCGGCAGTGCCGTAACGGTGAAACCAAATGGAACTCCTTGGATGGTGTACAATAATATCAACAACAGCAAATTCAAACGATCTCCTCTCAGGTCTGGTTTGGCTGGTGGTTGCGATGGTGACAATGGTGGCGACGATAAGTCCAAAGATGTTACGTCCAATTTGACGGGCACTCCGTCGTTTTTAGGTGCCATTACAATATTATAAATTTAATCGAAACGGAAAAAAGAACACACGGAGTACGAGTACTAGGAGTAAATACTAAACCTAGTAGGTATAGTGATTTTCATCGAACACTAAACGATTTATAGATGCCTATAATAATATTATTTAATTAAAACAAAAAAAAACCATCGAAAAAATGACGTAGAGTTTATCTCAGGTTTTAATTAATATTATCATAATTTCGTGGCCTGTTGTATGTCTGTAATACTATTATAGTAATTAGCATAGGTATCCGAAGAAATAATAATGTTAATACATTACACACTTGATTGTTTTGTGATTACGGTACGTTCGTGTATTATATTATTTATTATAAACTATCTGCCAATTAAGGTAAACGTTATCGGTGTGTTGCAGATGGCGTTTAATACCGAACTAACTTAAAAAAATTTAACATTTATGTATTTTCTTACACGATTGGAAACTACAGACAAACGGGAACCGGTTATACTTGTGAGTCGTGGGTAGGCACATACTTGATTGCGACTAGGAATTCATGAACGGGACCGAACATAGAATGAGTTGTTTTAACTAAAAAAAAAAAAAAACTGTTTGATTATTTTAAATGCTTTTTCCTTGATCAAACGACGTTTGTATCGTAGCGGGCTGATCAAAATTTATAAACATTGACGAACAGTAAAATAAAAAAAATCTGTCCTAGGATAATGCGGACGGGTGTAACCACTGTTAATAATTGAGATAATTTAATGTACATTTGTATGCCACAATTAACCATTCTTAACGAAAAATGATTCTAAGTGAAGTTCAGTTGATTATAGTGTTACTTTGCAAACAATATGAATGTCATATGCATTATATATTATTGTTTAATATTGTACCTATTTTCCCGTTTCTCATTTGTCGAGAAAACCCGAGAAAAATCAAAAAATTGATTTCCCAAAAGTAACATCCATAAATGTATGAAATGAAAGCATAAGTTGAAAAAATATTACAGCCTTTTTTCCCTGTAAACAACTTTTCAATCAATAATTTAGTTTCGATTTAAAATGATAACATTTTTTGTAAAAGAAAATTTGATAAGACCTCCCAGTCCAATTTCCTTTTTGAAACATTGCCAATATTATAAATTGGAGCATAACTGCTTGTAGAAAAGTTGTTCTCAGGGAAAAATAAGGCCGTAATATATGTAACTAATACCTAGATTTCTTACATTTTCCTGTTTATCATCCGATGTTTTTCGGTTTTTCATATTTGTTGACAAAACTCCTGAGAAAATCAAAAAATGACTTTTCTAAAGTACCTTCCTAGTTAAATTTTCTTTTAAAAATATTACTATCATTATAAATTGGAGCAAAAGTGCTCGTAGAAAAAAAAATCGTTATATTTTACTAATATATTTCGTACATTTTCCCGCTTTTCCCCCGTTTATTTTCTGAGATTTTATAAGAAAACCCTTGAAAAAATCAAAATCACATTCACACACCGATTTCCTTTCAGAAAAGGTGTAAAAATTATGTAAAAATTGGAACAAGTTCTCTGGCATAAAAGTTGTCTACAGAAAAAAAAAAATTAAAATTTTTGTAAAACCTTAAGCTCCACTCATAATATAAAATACTTATATTAAAATATTATTATTATTAAATATATTTTTTTATCTGTGATCAACTTTTCTTCCAACGACTTTGTTCCAATTTAAAATGATAGCACTTTTTCTAAAAGAAAATCGGATAGGAGAGGTACTTTAATAGAGGTTCATTTTTCGATTTTCGCTGAAGTTTTTTCAACAAATTAAAAAAAACTGAGAAAAACACCGGAAAACCGTGTACATAATATTTATTAAGTAGTTATTTTGTGAATTAAATAGACCAAATAGAAATGCTAGACAATTTAACAGGAGGTTCATTATAAGTTGTACTTAGTGGTTGACAAGAAAAATACATATAATTTTATATAGAAGAATTTTAATATTAAATTTTGACAAAAATCATAAATATTACGGCCTTTTAAACATGCATAACCGAACTCTGTTTAGAATCGTAATTCGTTAACAAGATTAAACAAATATTAATCGTTGCGTACAGATATACATCAAATTCTTCTCTATATACACTACCTTCCCAACTTCTCACATACAATAGTGGCCCATCCATCGTGTGAAGTATGTCCGTCTTTTTTGGTATGAGTTTTCCGATACGAGTCAATGACATAGCGGACTGTGAGCATATTCTTTATAGGTATTTAAGTCTTGGCAATTTCAAACCTAGAACGTACTATCAATACATAAGGAGTATAGAAATTTTAACGTAGTTTTAAGCTAACTACTAAAATATTATTATTTTCCATACATAATATGGACTGGTACGAATATAAGTTGGGGGAGAAGTGCACAATTTCGTTTGTTTTTTTACAAAGTTGTATGGAAAAAAAAAGGACATATTTCGCGTGCAGGTTGGCCGCTTTTAAAGGTGAGAAGTTCGGAAGGTAGAAGGAAAATTTCACATATACCTGTACGCAATGGTTAACCATTGCTAACGAAAAACTAGCTCTGCTAAGGCTCGTTTTTCTGTTTCTTTGTCAACAATATAATATATATGACATTGTGGTATAATAATAACATATATATATTCTTTAATAATATTTGTTTAATATGATATTTATTTTCCGGTTTTCTTCCGGTTTTACCCATGTTTTATTTTTGTTAAGAAAAATGTCTGGGAAGAAAGTTGTTCACAGGATAAAAAATTCGCTCAATTCTGACTTCGTCCTTATTTCGGTAATAATCATAAAATGTTCAAAAATAAAAAAAGACATCCTAGGATAATGGAAATGGATGCAGTCTTTGTTATAGATAATTGTATGTATAACTGCAAGCAACAATAAACCATTACTTACGAAATAACGATTCTGATCGGAGTTCAGTTGATAATGATCCTATGTCAACAATATATATGTCATTTTATAGTAAAATAATTAAATAGCCTTTGTACATTTTCTTTAATAATATTCGTTTAATGTTATACCGATTTTCCCAACTTTCCTACGTTTTTCCCGGTGTTCCTATGTTTTATCCTAGTTTTTCACATTTGCTAGGAAAACTCTTGGGAAAATCGAAAAATGATTTATTTAAAGTACTTCGTTAGTTAAATTTCCTTTTAGAAAAATTGCTATCATTAAAAGTTAGAGCGAAATTGCTGGTACAAAAGTTATGCACAGAAAGAAAGAAAGCAATAATATATTTACGCTAACACCAACATTTCTTATATTTTCCCGTTTTTTTTTTTTTTTTTTTGGTTTTTCAAATATGATGAGAAATATCCTGAGAAAAACAAAAAAATGACTTCCCTAATGTACCTTCCAACGCCAATATCCTTTCAGAAAAGGTGCTACACGTGGAAATGTAAGCAAGTCGTCTGATAGATAACCAGAACGATTAACCATTGCTAACGAAAAACTATTCTGAACAGAGCTCAGTTGATAGTGTTTCTTTGTCAACAATATATATGGTAAAATAATTACATATGTATAAAATATTTTCTTGAATAATATTTGTTTAACATCGTATCTATTTCTCCGTTCTCCCGGTTTTCTCGTGTGTTTTCTTGGTTTTTCCCATTTATTGGGAAGTACATCTGGAGTACATCGCAGTCAGATTTCTTTTCATAAAAACAGTTACATTTGTAAACCAGAGCAATATTTATGGTGGAAAAGTTGCTTCCAGATAAAAAAAAAGATAAATATCTTTGTAAGACCATAAACTTCTTCGTTCCACTCAGAATCTAAAAATTATAAAAGTGCAGTTTTTTCCGGGTAGTTAATTTGGAAACAATTTCTGGATTTTCAACAATTTTTTGAATAAAAATTAATTTTTTTATAATTATTGTAACTGTCGTTGCTTAAAAATTAAATTATCCTAAATACAGCTTTCAAACTATCTATCTCTTATAGTTGTGGCCTTCCTATAGTGTGATGAATACTTCTTAGGTTTTTTAATATTAAAAATTTAAGTCAGTATTAATATTTTTAGGGTTTTATGGCATTTACATATTCTATGCAAAGAAAATAACTGTTTTTGTAAATTATCGCCTATTATACCTACTTATCTCCTTATAAGTTTTACGTAGATGTTTAAATTAAACTTGTAAATGGTAAAAATAACAAACAAACAAAAAAATATGACCTCCTCAATGCACCGGCTAGATCGAAAATGCAATAATAAAGGTCTCTTGTCATTTTGCAGTTTAACAGACGCAGAAATAAAAAAATAAAAAAACACATCATAGTAAAACCAATACATTCCTCATTTCACTCAGAATCTAAAACGATAGTTGGAAATATTTTCATACATAATTATATAGATTGTAAAAAAATATCTTTTCGGACCTAGTAATTATCGGAAAGGAAAATTGTTTTTTGACAAATAATGTTGGATTATTCGTATAAACACGTACGTTGCTAGTCACGACAGCCCGGCCATATCAAAAATTCTAATATTTAGTGTTAAGCATCGGAGCGGCCCATCGAATTTTTCTTTTAGCTGTTCAACCGGTAAGTACTATACAAATAATTCTAATTTTAGTCGTTCAATATCATGTTAATTTCATACTAAATATTGATGCTAACCTATTTCAAAATTTAGAAATGGGTGGGGCTGTCGTAACGTAAGCCCATTAACAATTTTTAACACGCTCTATTTACTACATACATTAATGATTCAATAATTATAATAATATTCACCGTGCTTGTATCAAATCTTTACGATATATTTTTACTTGTGCGATTTACAAACAAACGAATGGCGTATCATAGACGTTCAAGACGTTCATAGCAAAATAAAATGAAAAATAATATTATACTTTACGTCATGTATGGTATTTTATAAAAGTTATTAGAAAATATCTAAATAATATTAACACTGATTTGCAATAAGCGGCTGTGAGCCGACACCGTCCTAAGTATACACGTGTAATTTCTGGTTGAAAATAATCCTATCTTTCGTTGAACAATATTGAACATTTCCGCTAATTCATTTATAATTTATATTTATATATTTATATATATATATTTTTTACATTTTCAGCAATATTATTGTCATTCGGTTTAGTTTCAGAAATTAAATAGAAATTGTGATTTTATAAATAAGTGACGATGTATGTTGTATAAACAAAATGTTTACTGTTTATACAACATGTAAATATTAATTAATTTAAACATTTTTAGGGAAAAAAAATGACCATGTAGAAAAAATTAAAAACTCACTATACATATTACATTAAGTTTCAAATAAACATAAGAGACCTGATCTAGATATTTGGGTCACAACCATTTACCCAAATACTCTATATAGTATTTCATCCATATGCATCAATAAGTGGATTATCACTAAACAATCTGGTATATT